GATGATGATGATGATGATGATGATGTTGTTGTTTTTGTTAATGTTGGTGGTGTTGCTGTTGCTACTGATACTTTTGATGTTGGTGCTATAGCATAAATCAGCAGCGTTAGGGCTGGTACAATTCAGCTTGACACGATGCAATAGCAAGTGAACAGCTACAACAACAGTAACAACAACAGCAACAACAATAATAACTAAATGCAACAACAAAAGCATCAACGACAATTACTACAACAACAACAAACCAGTTACCGCTGATGTTTAACGTCCGTCTATGAGGATACGTGAATAATCCTACTGATAGGACAGGGAGTACGTGAAGGGCCATAATGTGACAAATGAGGTTATATCCATTATTCGAAATTGGGCCTTTTCTGCCCTAGATCAAAAGGGAATCTTGCATCTTTACTGTTTTAGAATGCTTGGTCACACAAAATGCCTCAAACGACTGTTTTGATTCGATTTAGTTTTGTGTTCACTTGCAATCATATCCTAGATGAGATATCTTTTTCTGCGTGTTCAATTATTTCCGAAAATGTTTATATTACATGTATTACCGCATTATGTCACAAAGCTCTTCAAATATTCCGAGGAAGCGAGGAAATAATGTAGACCGCAATACACTTCCAATCGTTAATATCTGAGCGCTTCGTAGCGAGCTTGTCAGAGAAGGTGGGTGGTTTGAGGATGATCTGGTTTAGTTTTCTTCTTCTTTCCTATCAAACATCTATCGTCCTTTTTTGTATTTGTTACTCTCTTGTAACACCTCATCTTCGGCACTTATATGACCTTATTGCTTATTGTGTTGCAAGTGCTGTAAAACTCTTACTAAAACTATACACTTATTAAAACTAAAACGGTCAGAGAAGCTGACAATGTCAACCCCGTCTAGAAATATCTTGTGGAGCTTGCATCAGCTAGTCATAGTTTTATCCTCTAGTCTACCTTGTCACGTCCCACTGACAGCAAGATTACTGACGCCTTAGACATGCCCTGTCTGATAATACGCAAAGAGCCGTTGATAAGAGTCGTGCAGAATGGAAACAAAGGAGTGATGTAAGGCTCTCGTTACTCGTCATCATCATCATCAAGCGTCTTGTCTGGAGCAGACATTGGGACACTTGCGGTTTAAACAGAGAGGGGG